CCCCAAAACCCCAAAACCCCAAAACCCCAAAACCCCTACAAACTTATATTATTTGAAGGTTTGAATTTAAAATAAAAATTATGAAAGAAGAAGCCAAAAACAGCTACATGTACTGCACTCCTGATCGATTACTGGAAAGATTAGGTACCTCCATATTCAGGATTGTCTAATATACTCTAGTATCACCAAATAACGAAGGTATAAAGGGACTCTAGTAATAGGGTTATGAGCTAATTCAGATTTCTCCAGAAATAAAGTAGCTAATTCCACAATATTTTGGAGACATTAACTCTATATTATATATAAGAAATTCAAAATTTGCAGCTACTTTCTAAAGAAATAATTTGGATTCTTATAGGGTTTGATGCAAAAGAACACAAGGCTATTGTTCCAAATGCAAAAATTAACAGCAAAACTTATAAAATTAACGAAAACTCAGGATATGTAATGACCTGTCCATTTCTTTAACCTAATCAAATATCCTCCCTTGCACTTCCCCAAACTCTCATCTAACATGCCCACTAAATGGCCAAAATTTCATATATCTCTTTAGGCATATTTATCCAGAATCCAAGAGACCCAATGCAGCCAGTAAGCCATGAAGAAGTTATAGGCGCAGAAGGAAGAACTCAGATCGAGTCAGAATGAACAAGTATGCTAAGTTCAAGGTTTTAGGCTGACTTTGTACTTTAGTGCTATTATGAGCAAGTGATGTAAATAGTCCCGTGAGCAGTCAGTATCAAAACTTGAGGTGAAATTAATAGATAGGAGAAGGGATAATAAAATACTAAAGTTGCAAATTTCCCCTAGATATGTCTTTTAGTTGAAAATTTTAGAAATAGATCATCTCATAGCTGATAAAAATGGGTAGCTTGTGATAAATCTGTTGTGCTTTAGATTTAGTATCTTAGTATTTACCTGCTTTTTGTGAGACTTGACCAAGCATACTCTGACATACCTCTAGATCTCAATATTCAAGAAGCAGCCATAAGAAGAGGTAATCATGTTTTCAGATACTGTAGAATCTCAAATCAAATTTTTAAAAAGAGGAAAGGAAACTTAGTGGGCCCTATAGAGTAAGTTTGCCTAATTTCTGATATTTTTCGATCTTCTTAACTTGCTTGATAGAAGCAGAGTAATTTGACAAATAATGAATAGAAAAATAAAGGACTGATAGAAATTAATTCTAGCCAAGTTCAGAGTCATTCTCAGCCAAGGTAAAGCTGGAAATTAATTTTTAGGGAAGCCAACACAAACGAAATTCAGGTAAATCTTCTTCATATTTGCTTTAGATAGCAGAGATCACTGACTTCACTTCAAAGAAGAGCTCTTTAGGCCGAATCTGGAAGGATCGGATAGAAAATTATGAGAAAAACTCCTTAAAACAAGCTACTAAGACTCTCAAAAATTGTAATATTTTGTCTAACACATAGTGAATAAGTAATTTACAACTCTAATACATAATTCCATACTAAAACTCCTCCTCTCAGCAGCTAAAAGCAGTCTCATTCTCAAAAATATCACCTTTTTCCGTACTAAACTTCATATTTCTTCTTATTCTGCTTGTCTCTCTAGGTTCGAGTACCAGTACAACAATGATGTAGCAAACTATGAAATCTACACTAAAGAAGCCAAAAAGAAGCAGGAAATGCTGGAGAAAATGGCTGAAGGTATCCTGCCTGATAATTTAAGATAGAAGAAAGCAATGCCAAGCGATTACTTCACATGCGGAGGCTCAAAGAACAGCTCAACCACAATAGGTTCTATAAATGAGCTTCCTCTATGGCTTCTCCAGAAATGGTCCAGGTTCCTAGAAAGAGGTAGAAGTCTAAAGGAGCTTGGAGAAGCTGAAAAGAAGAATCTCACAAACCTCCTTCAGAAAAACCTGAGGAACGATAGAGTAACACAAGGGTTTACAAGAAGAAGGGAGAGAAATAGGAACAGGCTCTTTGCCTCCCGTACTGGAACAAATATCTCAAAATCTCCTGAAGAACTCAACCTCACTGCATCAGTTCAGGATCACAGAAATAGGAACAAAGGAAGGAACAGATTTAGGATTTCTAAAGGGAAAAATGATTTAGCAACCATGAAGAACTTTCGAAAGTAAGAGCGGTAAGAATAGAAAGGAAGAGATTTGCTTGGCAATGACCAAACCCTGAAATAAAAAGAAATATGCCAACTTATCAAAAGATTTTACTGAGACAAAGAACTCTCAGATAGCAAAAATCTCCCATTCCTCCAAGAAAACTGCGTTTAGAAATATCCAGACTGCAGAGCCGAATAGAGTCAGGAATGCTTGGATAATGCACAACAAACAGAAAGTGTTAATGCAGCAGGAGAGGGAAGAGAGGGAGCAAAAAATTGCCAAAAATATGAAATAAGCTCCAACAACAATACTGTAAGATCAAGAAAGGTACGCCTTGAGATTATCATTTAGAACGTCTCCTAAAATACATCGTTTGTTTTGGCAATAACAGTGAGTTGGTTAGAAGAGTTATGGAGACCAGACACGCCTCATGGTCAGAGATTCCTGACAACAGTAAGATATATAACTTCAAATGGAAGCCATTCTCTTATGGGATCAGATTTGAGGAAATCTCTTTATATGGCCATCAACAAGTCGTTAATCATATTTTTAATCATGAGGAGATAACGATGAAAGATAAGTTATTTCATAATATTTCTGAATACTGAAAGGAGCACAAAATGGATGTATTTAAATATGTTCCTCCTACCTTCATCCTCGATTTCAACAGTAAGGGTTTCATTAATGATCTATGATACCTTGAAAAATTGTTTGAGGTATTTAGAACAGAAGAAGCCAATTCTGAGGAGTTTCAACTCTCGACTACAGAGAAACCCCCTCCATATAGTCAAGATTCATTGGATAATTTTCCTTCAGATCTTGAACATCACAAAAGCCATATTGGTGAAGGAAATTTGTGGTTTCTGAAACTCACAAAGCTAAATAGAGGCAGAGGAATTTATGTATTTGACAGTATGGATCAGCTAATCTCCCTTATAAACGAATGCACTGAATCTGTGGAAGGTCATTCTATTGTTAAAATATATGGCAAAACTTCAAAATCTAAAAAGAATTATGCAAAAGTCCCAACATTAAGCACTAATTTGTGAATGAAGGACACTCTGTCTCAAAGGGATAGTGTCAAGTACCGTAGCTCCATCTTTGTCATTCAGAAATATATAGAAAGGCCTCTCCTAATACAGGGTAGGAAGTTTGATATTAGAATTTGGGCTTTGTACTGGAACAAAAGAGTACATATTTTTGAAGAAGGGTACATCAGGACTGCATGAGAGCCATTTTCCAATCAAAATACAGATGTCAGTAACCAATATATCCACTTAACAAACAACGCGATTCAGAAGTTTGCAAAAAATTATGGGACTTATGAGGAAGGAAATCAGCTTTCTTTTGGACAATTTCAAGAGCATATGGAAGCTCAAGATCCATGCTTTAAGATTCATCCAATTTTGAAGCAAATAGAGGATAGTGTTGTAATGACTTTCAGATCTATTGAGCATACTTTCATGGTATTTTTCAAGTGTCATTCTATAGCAACGACCTAAAAATCATGATAAAAGTTGTTTCGAAATATTTGGATATGATTTCATGATAGATGAACACCTCAAGGTATGGCTCATAGAGGTAAGATCATCATTTAATGTCCTTAATCAGTGAAATACAAATCCTTGTATCGAAGAATCAAGTAAATTACTACAGAGAATCATACCCAGAATGATAGATGATGCTTTAAATTTGGTATTGGACGAAACTTTTAGCACACAAGAGCCTAATTTAAAAGATCGCTATGACAAACCCAGGGTCTCTCAATTTCCAATACCAGGATATGAAGATACCTGAAACCTTTGGAAGTCAGTACTTACTTTATCAATTTAGATTTTTCTATTTTGGTATATCTTAAAGGGGTTTTGGGGTTTTGGGGTTTTGGGG